ACTGGTGCCATCTTTTCTGACCTCTATTGCCTGCAAAAGTGGTCAAAACATCACTCGGACTATCTGCTTGCAGAAAAATTGTTCTAACAACTAAGATGGGCTTCTTCCCACCTCTTCAAAAACAACAAAAACAACTGGGATGGGACTTCTTCCCATCCCGGTACAACTTTTTCTCTGTTCCCCTCACGCCTCCTCAGGCGTCTGGATCAACTTTTCCCTCCGTTCAGCTCACGCCTCCTCAGGCGTCTGAATCAACTTTTTCTCTGTTTTTAAACTCTCACACAAAGGCTCGGGCGTCCCCTCCACCTTTTAAACACAAAGCCAGGGTTGGATAACTCTTCCAACCCGGAACAACTTCAACGGACTCTTTGTCCAGATGCAACTCGCATCAACATTTCTCTCAACACCTTTTTTTTTTCCCTTCGTTTGAATATGGTGCAGCCGTTCAGAACTATTTATTTAAATTCTTAATATCCCATCCTCGTCGCCAAAAATGTATTATGAAATTCTTTATCAAAAGGGTTCGTGAACGATCGGCACCAGATATTCAGACAAGGAAAAAAAATAACACACACAGACTGTAACTTGCTAGAATAATATTTGTCATTTATTAATCTGCCACAAGAAACACAGCCAAGCAAAAAGTCATGTACACTCGTACACTCTTAACACACAAATTGATATGAAAGAACTTCTCACCGTGACACTGGCCGGGAAGTCGTTTTCGACCCAGGTAAAGAAGAATCACATCATCAATTACTGCATGGCACCGCGCGCGCTGGTCCACACAAGACTTCCAAAGTTTCCCTTGCCTGTCACTTCCTCTTATACCTTTTCCCTGACCGGATCGCGTGAGAGCAGTGAAAAACAACTTCGATGGTTGCCAGGAGGGCAGATTTAATTAAATCTGTTTTCCCATCATCAAAGCAGTCTGTGCAACAGAGTGATGGCTTCATCAAAACCTGGGTCACTGTAACCTTAAGATTGGGCCCGATCTTCTGGTTAGAGCATCCCCCAGAGAACTTTAATTACTCCAAAACACATCTGCAGCACAGGCCTGACTTTAAGCAGATAAGCTGCATCAAAAGTGAGTATAAGTGTGTTTTCAAACTACATGTAAATGAGTATAAATTGACATAAAAGCATCAAAATAATCATTCCTATATCACCCCCAAACACCCAACCCCCCAGCCCATGAACCCACAACCCACCAGCGAGCCAAAGGCCCCCGCCCAGAACCGGGCACCAGAGCGCAAGCTGGCCCAGAGCCCGGCAACCCTCCCGCCAGAGCCCAAGATCCCCGAACCCCACAGGCCCAAGCCCGGGGGCGACAAGCCCCCAGAACCCCAAGCCCCCGTGCCCACCCCGAACCCACACCAGCACTGCCAGGCTACCAGATCGGTGACCCACGACCGCCGCCACAGACCACCTGAGGGCCTGCATGCAGCCACCAGCAGATATCCCCCAGAACCACCCAGGCCCTCCCCAGAGGGAAAGCAGTGCCCCCCTGCCCAGGTACCCCCAAGAGCCCAGCCCCCGGCAACCCCCCCGGGGCCCCAAACCCATACACCCGCCTCCACATCAACCCCAAGGCCCCACAAGGTCAGATCCCAGACTACCCACCCTCACTATGTAACGGAGCCGATCAAAGGAGCCCACAGAGATTGATCCAATGTGTCGGCAGATGCTGTTTCAAGACTAATATGATCTAACAGAAGATTTTTATACTGATTAATGCTAAGATTATTTTTATTTTTCCAATTCAGGAGTATGGTTTTCTTTGCGATGCATAAAGCAGTGAAAATCATGCGACATGTATTTTTTTCCAGGGTAACATCTTCCAAGATAGCCAATAAGCAAACAGACGGAGAGAGTGGAATATTACATTTCAGACATTTAGACAAGTCTTCTGTGATTTGTGTTCTATTCTGAATAAAATATTAGACTTTGGCACCTCCACATCATTGCATTCAGTTTTTATTCACAATTTGTTTAGTGTCCCAACTTTTTTGGAATCTGGTTTGTAGTAAGCAGAAAGTAATTTGCATTCAGTTTAGCAGATAAATCACTGTTCTTGTTTTGATCACGTTTATTTAACAAGCATAAAGTTTACTGAAACAGCCGTGCTGAGTTCAGGTACCTGTTGTGTTCACGGCTGCAGAAACAACCAGACCAAACTTAATCAGAGGCTACAACAACAGAGTTTTGAACACAGCCACAAAACAAAAAAACTGTTCAGAAGTTTAGTTTCATCTCCTACCTACAGATGAGGAATTAAGAAGAATGTTTCTGAAAAATGTGAACTTGAAGAGAACACCCAAAACACTGTATGTGCTCATTTCACTTTGTTAACAAACGGCTGATGGAGGAAAACCTGCATCCTACTTTATGTCTGGACAACAATAAACCACTGGAGAAGAGACGCTGGATCCTCAAAAGGACTGAAAACAATGACGAGAACATGAGGGATGATTTCAAGTGTATGGAGGTCAGAGCATTATAATGTTTGTTCGTCTTCAGTTTTATGATTTTCTTTGTAGTTAACCCAAACTCAGTGATGGAGGACTTTAAGTCTTTGACTGGACTCTGTGTCTGTTTTAATGTCAATAAGACTGTGTCCCATCTCTTTTAACAAAATACCATTGAGTAGATACTGATACACCTCAGAGCTTTTCAGGTTGTTCATCACTTCACTGTCAGAAGAACCGAGTCAATGAAGCATCACATGCTAGTAGATGTAATCTGCAGCACTTCTTCAGCTCGTCCTCCATCCCTCGTCCTCAGCAGGCAGAGGTATGAGAGGTATTGTAAGTAAGTAAACTTTATTTATACAGCACTTTTCATAGAAACAATCACAAAGTGCTTTACAGAAATAAAAAAATACAGGCTTAAAACAAAACAAAAACAATAACAGCTGGTTAATAAAAACAGTAAAGAAAACATTTAGCTAAAAGCTTGTCTGAATCAAAGTGTCTTAAGCTGCTTTTTAAAGGAATCAACAGAGACCGTCACACGTAGAGACAGGGGTAGGGCATGCCACAGACAGGGGCTACAGTCTGAAAGGACAGGTCACCCCGAGTTTTAAACCGGGTCTTAGGGACCTTTAGGAGGTTCAACGCTGAAGACCGAAGGGTGCGGGCTGAAGAATAAGGAGTCAACATCTCAGTGATGTATTGGGGGGTTTGTCCATTTAAAGCTCTAAAAGTTAAGATTAAATTTTAAAATTAATTCTAAATTCAACAGGCAGCCAATGAAGAGAAGATAAAACTGGTGTAATGTGAGACCTTCTATTAGTTCCTGTTAAAAGCCTCGCAGCAGCGTTCTGGACCAACTGGAGACGAGCGACTGCAGATTTATTCAAACAAGTAAAAAGGGAATTAATCGAAATGAAAAGAGATGAAAACAGGAATAATCATCTTCAGGTCAGATTTGGATATAATGTCCTCATCTTATACGCTGTCCTGTTATCCTGCTATATATTGACCTGTTTGACTCTGACAGGTGGTGTTCACACACAGTACTCAGAGAAACTACATTAGCTTGTACTGTTCACACAGAAACAAACACCGGTTCTGGTCTGTGCCGGAAGTTGTGCCCATAATTCATGCAAGGTATCATGGAGGCTAGAAAGAAGGTGGACAGTCCACACTGACCTGAACTGCAGACACCACACCGCTCAGTTTGGGTTTGGGGGGTTCTGTCCTCAGTATGTCGTCCTGTTGGGTTTGAAATTGTTCTGGGTTGTTGTGTTTGTAGAAAATCCATCAGTTTTTCAGACACTCCTGCAATATGGGAGGACCAGAAGTCCAGCTGTTTTGTTTTGAAACTTTATTTGGATTTGCTTCATTTCATTTTTTTAGCTATTGTTTTGCATCTTTTAATGAGCGTTTTGCTTATTTTTAAATCTCTTAACTAGTTTTGCTCCTTTTATGTCCTGCTACTTTTAGCTTTAAGCTACTTTTAGTTTTAAGCTGTTTTAAAAATATTTAGCTGTATAAACATAGTTTTACTTCTTCAATAGTATTTTTTATAGCATTTCAATTATTTTTTACCTGTAATTTACAGTATTGATTGTTGGCTTGTAAAAAATTTAAGAAACAAATTTACTGTAAACTTTAATTTATAAATAATTATACTCTAAACCGTTCGTTTTGCTCACACAACAGTTAAAACTGGAAGATAGAAAAGTCACACTGGTGAAACTGTACCAGTAAAATATTTGTGCTTTAAAGCTCATCTGAAAATAGAACTAACTTATAACTTTCAATTGTTCAGACTTGATGAATGTATTGAATTAAACATGTTATAGATATCTTTAAATGTTGTACCCTATTGTTTTTATTAATTTGTGCGGTAAATAGATGCAGTTGATTAGAAATAAAAAAAATGTGAAAAGAAAACATTCGTGAACAGTAGTAACAGCTCAAATATGTTCTTAATAACTTCTGAGATGTTCAATGGCTCATTTATTTATTTGGCTCGTCCTGGAGCTTTACCTGAGAGCTTGTGCGCATGCGTGAAGAAAAGTTCAGCGGCGGTAGCTCACGGTTCCTGCTCACCTTTTACCAACAGACAAGTATTTCGGGAATTAAGGACAAATGACAGCGCCAGGGAATTGAAATGCCCACTTTCATGGAGGTTTGGGGAAAGTGTAGCTTCCACCTGAGTCTGTAGAAGCTTTAACTCGCGGAGAAAAGATCTCGGGGTTTTCTGAAGTTTGTGTTTACTGATGTTGTGCTAGCTAACTGGTTAGCCCTGTAGCTAGCGAGAAAGCTGCGAGTTGAAACTATTTAACGTCTAACAAAGTAGCCGGGTGAAGATTGATAAGATACAAACTTTTGTGGGACGAACTTTGTGTTTCGTCTAAACGACATTGTGTTTGAATCAAAGTTTAAAAAAACAAACACCCGAATCTGTAGGTATAAATCAGCTGTTTATGTTGGATATACCTGCCGTGACAGGTTAACACAGATTAGACTAGACGCCCCCTCCGGACCTAAAGTCGCAGTTTAATCCACGATGGGCACCCTGCGCAGCCAGTAGGACCTGTGGAGACTGGCACCATCATGGGAGGATGTGTGGGGAGATACTTGGACGGCTGGGGAGACTCACGCAGCCGAGGCAATGGTGGAAGAGGAGGTAAGATGCCACGAAAAAGTCTATTTTAGAAATTTAAAGATTTGATAAGTAGATTTGTGGGCAGCTGTGGCTGAGTGGTTAGTGCAGTCATCCTGCAATGAGAGAGTTGGGGGTTCGATTCCACCTGTTGGAAGTGTCCCTGGGCAAGACACTGAACCCCTCGTTGCCTCTGTGTGTGTCCCATCAGTGTGTGAATGTGATCTAAACCTCTGATTAGTCTCTACAGAGTCAGATTATCTTTGCATAGATCTAGTAGAGTGCTGTATGTATGGGTAAATGAGGTCACTTATTGTAGTGTAGCACTTTGATTAGATAGAAAGGCACTAAATAAGTACAGTACAGTCCATTTACCATTTGATATTGTATTACAGTTAAACACTTGAGCCTTGCTTTGTTTAAATTATCCTTGCACAATCACTCTGATTTGGCATCGTGTGTCATTTGAGGGTGGTCTTCCACCTTTGCTGCCACTAACAAAGGCAGATGACATTTTACATCTGACACCTGATCTGCTTTTACTACCACCCACACCCACCAAAGGGAATAATGGTTTTGCCCATGTGTCTGTCTTTGTGTGTCTGCATGTCATTAAAATATTTATTAAACCTCTGGATGGATTTTAATGAAACTTTCAGATACCAAATATTGGATATACACATTGTATACACATACAGTGTATCACAAAAGTGAGTACACCCCTCACATTCCTGCAGATATTTAAATATATCGTTTCATGGGACAACACTGACAAAATGACACTTTGACACAATGAAAAGTAGTCTGTGTGTAGCTTATATAACAGTGTAAATTTATTCTTCCCTCAAAATAACTCAATATACAGCCATTAATGTCTAAACCACTGGCAACAAGTGAGTACACCCCTTAGTGAAAGTTCCTAAATTGTCAATATTTTGTGTGGCCACCATTATTTACCAGAACTGCCTTAAATTTCCTGGACATGGAGACACATTGTGTGTATGTGTATATTAGGGCTAGGCCATATCATATCGTTCACAATAATACTGGTCAAAAAAAATCTTGCCCAGGCAAAAAAATGATATCATGATATGCTAATTTCATGACGTAATATGTCAGGGCGCCCCGCCCCGTTAACAGAACTGAGCGCAATGAACCATAGATATAAACACTAGATACAGCATTGACTGCTATCGCCTATTGGCGCTGACAAGCTGTAGGGCCGCCATCTTGGAACGGTCGACCGCTCCACTCAGTGTAACCTGTTTGACAGGAGCAATGAAGTATTTGTCATAGCTAAATACTAAACTCATTCTCACGATTTTTTCCTCTGTAAATCTTAGGAGTACAGCCATTAAAGCTGAACACATGGTTCAGTGTATTTAAATATTCTTGGTGGGGTTAACATTAACACTAATAAAATATTCTTATGACAAGTTTTGCAAAACTCACAGTCACTGATACATTTGTATTAATATCTACATTGTGTGTGTGTATGTATATGTATGTATATATATATACTGTATATATTTATATATATATATATATATATGTATATATATACTGTATGTGTATATATATATATACTGTATGTGTATATATATATATATATATATATATATATATATA